CACATGAGGCATGGTGACCCTCCATCATTAAACCACCATCAGTTGTCTCTCTCTAATGAGAGAGCAGCCCTATGGTCCAGGAGGTCTATGGCAACTTTACCTTTCTATTAATGGACATTTACCTGTTTGCACCAATGAATGTGTGGTGTATTTTCTATCCACAGATAGATATCAACAGAGGCTTGCAGTGTGCCATCGCTTTGTTTTATACCTCACTGTCGGTCAGAACTGGAATTTGATTTTTATATTCTATGTTTAATATATAGCAATAAAATAGAAAGAAAGGCACCGATCATTGAGATAGAGAATGATGTGAAATGAGAGAGAGAAAAAAAGCACTTTAGTAAGTTATCTCCTTCATAATCCACAGTTGTTGTCAATGAGTTATATTGGAAAGGTCCTACTCATAGGTTTTGTTAAGCCGTACAGTGCAAATTGGTTTTTAGTAATACTTTAACTGTTGTTCAGCTCACACATCATAGAACTGACATTGATAAATAAAATCTAGTTGACTTAGAGGGCACAAAAGTCCCTTGAAGCTGGTATTCACATGGAGAAGGGAATTGTGTTTCCTGTGCTTTTTAACATGTAGAAAGCAGGAAACATAGGAACAAGTGTAGGTCATTCAGCCCATCAAACCTGCTTCACCACTCAACTAGATCATGGCTGTCATCTACCCCAATGCTACGTGACCGTACAATTTCAGTCTTTAACCAAACTCAATTAATTGAACTTCCCCAGCCCTTTGAGTTTGAGAATTCTAAAGATTCACCATCCTCTGAGAAATTCTTCCTCATCTCAGCCTTAACATACCTACTTCTTAGAGTCACAGAGTGACACAACATGGAAACAGGCCCTTCAGCCCACCATGTCTATGCCAACCAACAAACACCAAACTACACAAATCCCATTTACTTGCACTTGGTCCATAGCCTGCTATGCCCTGGTATTTTAAGTATTCGTCTAGATGCTTCTTCAAAGTTGTGAGAGTACCTGCGTCCACCACCTTCGGAGGCAGTATGTTCCATATTTCTACCACCCTCTGTGTGAAAACTCTTTTCATTGGATCTCTTCTAAACCACTTACTCCTCACTTTAAACTGGTGGTCTCTGGCCTTAAAAGTATCTACCATGGGGAAAAGATTCTCACAATCTACTCTGTCTATGCCTCTCATAATTTTGTATACCTCAATCAGACTCCCCCTCACTCCATTGAAACAATCGCAGCCTATTCAGTCACCCCATATTATTGAGACTTTTAAGCCCAGGCATCAGTCTGGTGAATTTCTTCTGCACCCTCTCCAGTGCAGTTACATCCTTCTGATAGATTAGCAATCTCTTATTTTGAGATTTTGTCCCCTGGTTTTAAACTCAGCAACCAGGAGAAGCATCTTATCTACATGCTCCCTGTCATGTGTGCTCATTAAGATTTTGTAATTTTCAATGAGATCACCTTTCATTCTTCGAAACTCTGGAGAATACAAATCCCTCAGTCTTTCCTCATCCGACAGTCCTTCTATCCCAGGAATCAGACTGGTGAACGTCCATTCACGGCAAATCCATCTTTCTTTAGATAAGGAGACCAAAACTCTGATCTCAGCAAAATTCTACACAATTGCAGCAAGATATCTTTACTTCTCTAGTCAAATCCCCTGTCAATAAGGGCCATAAACGATGTGCCTTCCTAATTGCTAGCAGCAACTGCACACTAACTTTTTTAATGATTCATGGACAAGGATGTCCTGGTCCCTTTGCACTTCTCACCATTTAGGAAATATTATGCCTTTCAATCTTTCAGTTAGTTCAGTTAGCTGCCTGGCTGCTTTTCAATTCTGAGTGATGCTGACAGTGTGGATTCAATTCCTGCACCAGCTGAGGTTAGCGGGAAGGACTCTCCTTCTCAATCTCACCCCTCGCCTGAGACGTGGTGGCCCTTAAGTTAAAACCACCACCAGTCATCTCTCTCTAATTAGAGAGCAGCCCTGTGGCCTGGTGGATCTATGGTGACATTATCTTTACTTTGATTCAAAATGAACTCAGATCAGGTCAACATCTCTCGTGGATTTGACCGCTACCTTTTATCTCCTGAAGAGATGAAAGAATATTCCCAGAAATCAATGCCATAAGAGAATTCATTGGATGTTTCACAAGTATAAATAGAAACCATTGACTTTGATGATCTTCCTCCAAGTACAAAATACATTCACTGTTAAAAGACACTGAAGTGTGAAAAGTCACAACAGAAGGTGGGAGAAAGATTCAGACAGTAATTAAAATTATTCTTATTTGGAGGATGATTTAACATTTTCTCTGGGTCACGTTATAATGGTGGTCATATTTGCTTCCTTTAAGAAAAATAACAAGGAGAGGTAAACCGCAACAAGCAAACAGACAGTTTTTTTTTCCAGAGCCAGACTCATTCCCATTAGACAAGAGAAGGGAACTCAGCTGAAAGCCATTGGACAGCTGTAGTCACTGGAGCATGAATGTGCCTCCTCATAACCCTTTGAGAAGGAAACAAGGATCATCTCTCTCAAGCCTCATTCCATCTTCAGGCTTACCTGTGAAACAAATCTCTGACCGACCAGCTAAGCTGTCAAAGCTGCAGAATGATCCCTGCAATTTCAAAGCCTTCTCTTCGGACAACATAACTAGACTACAAAACAGTAACAGACAAGCACTGAAACAGCGACTGAACATGATTCCATTTTTCTATTAGTTGCTTTTATCTTTATCTGTATCTAGTTTTGCTGTGCATGTTTAAGAGAGTTGGAGAGTATGAATAGGATGTAGCTTTCAATAGTAATATCCAGAGCCAGGGTCTGAAAAATAAGCTTACCTTATTTCAATTTGTAAACAAAAAAAGCTTGCTGTTAGGTTAGTTAAACTCCAAAGGTAGGCAATGCATCCAGATTCAAATATATTGATCACAGGCAACTGTGAGGAAAGACCTTAAAACAGCCTGTGCCATATATACAGTGGGTACCCTCCTGTGAAGGGTGCACGTGGCCTGTAGTTTGCATGAGAACTCTCTTGTTCATTCATGGATTCTTAGCATTGTCTGCTTTTAAGAACAGCATTGTTATATTTTTCCAGATGACCACTGCTGGCACCTTATGTATATTTGTCACCTCTACCAGTATGTGCTACCCACTCAGGGTGGTTTGAGTTAGTTCACTGCCACCTCCGTTAGTTTTGTTTGTTCTATATACCACATAGGGTATGTATGGAAAAGGAACTTTTCTCAGATAATAAGGTTTATTGCGTGTTGCGACAAGTGCACCTAGATTTGATGGGGTTAAATTTCTAGGAGCTGCTCCCTCTGAAAACTGGAATAGAACTTATTGCCTCCATCCACTGCATGTGTCACATCAGCATGGGTGCAGCCAATATAACATGAACATTAACCCCTTTAGAACTATTACCTTGTGTATCAAGTATATATTGTAGGATGCCTTGCTGCAGTTGTACGCTAACTGACCTTGGAAGGTCATTCTATTTGTCATTACATTTGGGGGCTTTTCTGTCACTTGTGTATTAGATTATTTCAGATCTTTCATCTTAAAATACTTTCATCCAATAGTTCCAACTTCCCACACTTTGAAGAGTGTCTATTCTTGCATCGAGATCCAGATAAACAACCAATAATGTGCCCAGGAATTGAAGCACAAGCTTTGTGTCAAAAATGCATTTAGCTACAAGGCTATGACTCCAGACTTTTGGTGCAATAGAACAATGCAAGGTCTACAACATTAAGAAATTCATATGACTCAATGAGTAAGTCATATAAAAGGTTTTGTATTTATGTAACATTATTTGGACTTCACAGCCTGTAGCCAATCTTTGATTTGCATATGAATCTCTGCCTATTCTATCTAATTCTGTCTCCTTCTCTATTTCTTTCTCCTACATGCATTTATCCAGTTTTCCCATTGATGCATCAATGCCATCCACTTCAGCTACTTCATGTGGTTGCAAATTTTCCACATTCCAACCATCCTCTGAGGAAAAACTTTTACCTGAGATTGATATTGAATTTATTCTTGGCTATCTATTATATGATCCCAAGATTTGGATGTTCCTTCTTCCCCTGCTGCTACCCTATCAACACTGTTAATAATTTTAAGGACTTCTAATAGGGTACCACCAACCATTTTTGAGGGCAAAGAATCTGCACATGAAATGCTTCTAAATTGATATTCTACCTAACTGCTGTGCTTAATAACATAATAAAGATTGTCATACACTAAATAAACCTTGATGTATTTTTGAATGATGTACATGGTGATCTTCCACTTGCACGCACATTGGATGACGTGCTGTGAAATGAAACTTTGCTACACTTTCTCTATCCTCCCCCAGGTAAGAAGCCACTCTTAGAATGAGCAGATGGTTAGAGTGTAAGAAAATAGAAATGTGTATGTGCCCCAGTTTCAGATACAGTTTATGTATGTTCCCTGTGTCAGGGTACAGATTAATGATATTCTCCATGCTGAAGTACAGAATATGTGCCAGACCTGCTGAGCTTTTCCAGCAACTTTGTTTTTGCCCCTGATTTATAGCATCCGCAGTTCTTTTGGTTTTTTTTTACAGAATATGTGCACTTATTATGTTGGAATACAAGGTACAGTGTATATGTTAGGTACATTACTTGTATATTTACTATCGTAGGTGCAGACAATGCGGCTGATAGGCCTGATTTTATTTATATATATTCCTCAATGTTGCAGATTGTGCCATCTGGGAGGATTCAATCTGAATCTTGAAGCACACTTGTGAAGTGAGTGAGATTGCTAGTTAACTTTAATTAAAAATGTCCCTTCAATTTGGACTTTGATTCATGAATATTTGATGGGTTGATACTTCAAGGGAAAAGAAGAGAAGCCAGGCTGCTGCTCATTAAAGACACATTAAAGAGAGCCTGGTGATGCTGAGGGTAGAGTACTTTGAATTCTAGAGACAACATAATTAATGCTCTGCTTTGTCACCCCACCCCCCCAGGTCTCCATCGCTGTTGGACTTGCTGCATTTGCCTGTGTCCTCCTGCTCGTCTTGTTCATAATGATTAACAAATATGGACGCCGTTCCAAATTTGGAATGAAGGGTGAGTAATGGGATGCGAGTTCCCGCCCTGCCCACTCCTCCGGTTTTATGTGACTGGGTGGGAGTGGGGAGGGGAGTTGATGGTGAAGGGAGGAACAAGGATAATATGACAAATTTATCACTGCTTATAAGAGGATGCATGAACAGTTGGGATTGATGGACAATTGTTTTGATTAGAACTTTCTCTGTTGATTTGTTGACCTCCAAAAGGTTGTTGAATACATTCGATGAATAGCTAGAATTGGTGAAGCAATGCGAACACTTTCTTCAGGTTTTGCTTGAAGCAGGGTGTTGGTGAATTGAGACAAAACTGTCAAAATGGAGATCTCAGTCACCCAGCACACAACCCCTCTTCAATGAATGAGCAAAATCTTGGTCAATTGAAACCCATCAGGAGTGGGTTTATTAGTGTTCTTTGTTTGTTTGGATCAGTCATGTATCTGGAATAGATCAGTTTTATTTTCCTGCTGCTGTTGCAGTGCATCTATTTATATCCATAAGGCCGCTGCTGGTTAAAAGATGAGAGATTATTGAAGGAGCAGTCCAGAGTTGTTACTGGCACAGCAGTGTCTTTGCATATTATAATGGAAAATGAGTCAATGGCAATTCTTTCTACAGTTTAGTGATTGTTCAGTAACTTGGTATTCCCACCAGATCCTCATGTTAGAAGGATGCAATGATTGAATTCTATCATTAGCTAGAACTTCCTTGCAGCAAGATTCCATGCTGGAATTACTGGTTTGCTCATCTCATCCTTTGACTTAAACCAAGCCGAATATGTATTGAATCATTTGTGTGAATGCAGTATTTTTGATTTTTTCGTAAGTCTTCAATTTGTAATGTGATCAGCATATTCAAAATATGTCATTAATGACCCTGATTAACTAGTTGTCAATTAGAAATTGAGATAACTATCTCAATTGATTTGATTCCAGTTGGCCACTCAAGCAGTTGGCAGGCTGAGCTGTTCTCAGTTGACTAGTTGAGTCATCTCCATTGACCACTTAAGTTTTTTCCTATTGACCAGTCGAGCTGTTCCCTGCTGACCAGTTGACCTGCCAATATGGCTGATTTACCAGGGTTAGCAGCGTCACATCACACATTAATGAAATCCCAAAATCAGTTCACACTAATTAAATGACATTATCAACCAATCAGATTGATGGAACAATATTACTATTTGCTTATGGCTACACATTTCTTGGTTCAGCCTCCATCAATATTTTGCTTTGGGAATTTTATCAGCCCCCACTAAAAATCAGGCTTGGCTTTACCTTCAATTCACGGTGAGTGTTTCAGCTTTTCTCCATTCTTCACTGCGCTTTGGCAATGATCCTGCTGCCTCCAGCTAACGCACTCTTAGAAATGGCCCTAATCCCGATTCCTCCAGTTTTTGATCCATTGCTCTGTGAGCCTCCATCCATTCTTGCCTGCCTCAATTACCACCCCAGTATTCCAATCATGGAGCCTCTGCTGTTTCATTTCTTTAACCATGCTTTCCCCGCAACAGGCCATTTTGATATTGCAAACTCCCCCACTTCTCCCTTTCCCACAGAGAAACTTTCCTAATCAACCTGCCCAGACATTTTAATCCAAATTTCTGGAGCAGGTGGGATTTGAACCTGGTTCTCCTGACTGAGAAGTAGGGATGCTACCACTGTGCCACAAGAGACCACAATTTGCCCTGTAGCTTTCCTACATTGGGCATCATTATAGGGGATTCACTAACAAGCTTGTAATTAATTCATTATATAACATTAGATCTGAGTGTTGAAGAAAAGATAATAAAGGGTCTTAACCAGTAAATGTGAGGCTTCTTTTTGTATAAACTGCTTTGCACTTAATTATGTTAACATCTGAAAGTTTTCAAATCAGCGCATCACATAGTATTACTATTTTGTCTCCTTTTTCTCTGTAACTTACTGAGGCTACATTGTGCAACATTGGACCTGATAATAACATCTACTTCAGATTCTGTGGATAATGCATGATGAATATGTCAATGATGATGTAAATGATACTGGTTTGACATTGCAGCAGAACGGAGAGACATGATCGAGACTTTTAGAGGTGCAAAAGAGAAACACTGCCCTCGATGCTGCATTCATTGCGTACATAAACAGTTTTCAGGACTTGCTGAGAGAGAAAAAATATTACTCCAAGGACGAAGGATGGATGCATGGGACTCAGAGTAATGCAGGATAGTGTAGTCTTTAAATGTTGCACAGATGTCCAATCCACAGCAGAACCCAGAGTTGGCAGAATGCATGAAGGGACAACCATGCAGCTTAAGTCCATCGGAGAGTCACAATCCGTAGATACAGCTGCAACAGTCCAAGACATAGTCACAACTATGTTCTCTCAAAGCAATCTCCATTCCCACTGATCTGTTTTGAGCATGTTGCATTATTCATTGTTATATTGGGGTGTGCAAAAATGGTGGCATTTGTTGAACTTTAGCAAGAGTCAAGTAGATCTTAACAGTTACTTAGGATCCTGTAAATTGTTATGTTCTTATATTGTTAAAAAATGGCAGTAAATTTTGCCTGAAAGACTAGTTCCTAATAGGCTGGTGTGATTATTGGCTCATGATTGCTTAATAGATTAAATATCAAATTCCTGTTGTGTGCTTTAATCTTTCAATCACATCAGGCCTTCCAAATTTCTGTAGCTTCTTTCAGTCAAGCAATTGCTACACCTCACATCCTCTCAGTTCTCTTCTTCCAATCTCTTGTATACTTTCACTTCATTTTACCCCCACTGTGTCTTCAAAGGATTGCATCCCTTAGTCTGAAATTGTTTTCCCATACCCCTCCCTTAGCATGCTCTTTCAAACCTTCTCCTCGACTGAGTCTCTAAGCCACTTCCTGTAACCTCCTCTAACTTGATTTTTTTTAATGCCTCTATGAAGCACCTTGGGAAAGGTATTTACACTAAAGGTGATATACGCAAGTATGTTATTACTGATGTTGTGGAAACTGAGCCTAATTGTGTGGGTGAAGCAAAAGAAGCTCTGGCCCAGAAACATCAGGCATAAAGACAGTGCATAAGGAAAATAGGAATGCTCTCACATGTAGTGGCTCAATGACCCAAGATTGACAGAACTGAATCTCCACGACTTGCTTTGCAAATTAATGTTGCACGCTGCCCTACCCACTGTAAGGCAAACTTTGAGAAATGATTGTTAGTCCCTGAAGGGAAGGCTTCATAAATGTACACTCCTTTGATCACAGGGATGAAAAAAACTGTCTGCAGTAGCATCTGTGTCCTTCCTTTCAGCGTTACTGAAATAAGGTGACGTACTGGTGTTATGCTGGATTTAAGTCCTCATACAGCTCCCAATATTGCATTTGACATTTAAGCTGTGGTCACACTTGACTGTGCATAATACAAGGACGGTTTGAATGGTCGATATAATGGGCCATACTAATTGACCATGTTTGACTACTGATATTTGGATTTAATTACCATCATTGAATCAAAGTGCATCTTGTCTTTTCTGTAATGTGACGGTTTGTTGCTTTTCTGCCTCCTTGATGATAATCTTCAAACATGAGAATGACTTATTGGAGAGATGCGATGGTGCAGTAACACAACAATGCCTTAAAATTCAGCTTGTCCTCTACATAAAACTCTGCTTCTGGCTAAAGAATGAAAACTGATGTACAGAAGTTTTCAACAGTGACATGTTTCACGTTTCCTTGACTCAGAATAAGGAACTGAGCATGGAGGTGGGGGTGGAGGTGGGGGGTGTTGTGGGATTTCCAGCAAAAAAGAAAATATTTATTTTCCTGACAGACCAACAAATGTGATAACTACCACTTTAAGGGCATGACTAGTGGGATAGGTAGAAGTTGATTAGCCACTTCATAGGACACAGTGACAAAGGTGACCCTGGAAATATTGTCTGTGGAAAAGCATCAGCCAGGGTAAATACCAGTCTTAAAAATGTATTGTACAGTTTTGGTCAAGTAGTTTTGACATGATAGAAATATACTGGTTGAAATTTCCATTTGGAGTAAAACAGACAAGTTGTGAAAGGAGGTTGAATGTTTGTGCTGAATGTGGAACAAGCTCTGAACAGAAGGATTCACTCCTGCTTCATAAAACAATAAATTTGCTCCTACAGATATGTTTGTACAAAGTTGCTAACGTGGTTGTGAACTTCTCCCAACCCATTTGATCAGTGGAAACACTAATTTTGTGAACCACCGATTGGATTGTTTCAAGAAAAGTGTGAGGTATACCCACTCTGTGGTGGGGCGAGGTGAATCTGTATACTGTCTGCTGGGGCTGGGTCAGTGCTGTGTACTCACTATCTGTTGGGGCTGGGTTAGTCTGTATACCCACTGTCTGTTGGGGCTGGGTCACTCTGTATACCCACTGTCTGTTGCAGCTGGGTCAGTCTTTATGCCCACTCTCTGCTGGAGTGGGGGCTGGCTGAGTGCAGTGTACCCACTCTCTGCTGGGCCTGGGTCAGTGCTGTATAACCATGCTCTGCTGGAGCTGGGTCAGGGTAGAGTACCCACTTTCTTCTGGGGCTGGGTCAGTGCTGTTTACCCACTGTCTGCTGGGGCTGGGTCAGTGCAGTATACCCACTCTCTGCTGGGGCTGGATCAGTGCAGTATACCCACTCTCTGCTGGAGCTGGTCATTGCTGTGAACCCACTGTGCTGAAGGTGGATCAGTGCAGTATACCCACTCTCTGCTGGAGCTGAGTCAGTGCAGTGTACCCACTCTCTGCTGGAGCTGAGTCAGTGCAGTGAACCCACTCACGGCTGGACCTGGGTCAGTGTTGTTTCCCACTCTGCTGGGGCTGGGTCAGTGCTGGTAATATTCATTGAGTATTATTGCCCCATCTTTGCTCGATTATCTTTTCAATGCTGTGTCAGTGATATGAGTTATTCTTTTTTTTCTCCAGACAGCCTTGTTAATTCAGAATGAGCCACTTATTTACATCAAAGAAGGATGTGATATGAAACAGTGTCACCCTTGGTAAATA